GCGCGGGCGACGACCGCCGCATCAACCTGCTGGTCAAGAGCTTCCTCAAGTGGGGCCACGGCGCCAGCCACGAGGAGGGGTGCGCGCCCACCACAGCCGTGCCGGGCCGGGGTCCCTCGGGGGGAGGGGGGCCCGTGAGACCCCCCCCCGTGGGGTGCCTTGAGACCTCCCTGGAGTGCCCTGCGATCCCCTCTGGCAGGCCCTTGAGATCCCCATTTGCAGTGTCTGTGGGATCCCTCTGGGGGACCCTTGAGATCCCCTCTGCGGTGCCCAGGATCCCTCCAGGCATGCCCTGAGATCCCCATTTGGGGTGTCCATGGGATCCCCTCTGCAGTGCCCCTGGGATCCTGTCAGGGGTGTCCATGAGATCCCCTCTGGGATGCCCTGGGATCCCATCTGAGGTGCCCTTGAGATCCTTGCTGGGGTGCCCTTGAGATCTCCTCTGACGTGCCCTTGAGACCCCCATTTGGGGTACCCTGAGACCCCCCCCTGGAGTGCCCTTGATATCTTGATGGGGTGCTCTGGGATCCCCTCTGGCAAGCCTTTGAGATCCCCATTTGGGGTGCCCCTGGGACCGTGTTGGGGGTGTCCATGGGATCCCCTCTGGGGGACCCTTGAGTGTTTGCTGGGGTGCGCTGGGATCTCTTCTCGGGTCCCCTGACATCTCTTCTGACGTGCCCTTGAGATCCCCTCTCGGGACCCTTGAGATCCCCATTGGGATGCCCTGGGACTTCCTCTGACATGCCCTTGAGACCCCCATTGGGGTGCCCTGAGGGGCTTTCCAGGGTGCAGACTCAGTTTTCCACATCCACCCCAAGGTTGCTAACAGGAAGCCAGGAAATCCTTTCTGGGGTGCTCTCGAGCTGCCTTCTAGCTTTGCCCTGAGCTGCTTCCCAGGGTGCCCATGCAGGGTAGCACGGTGAGGGGGGCAAACCGGATTCACTGCATCCACTCGGAGACTTCAAATGGCAATGCAGGGGGTCACAAAGATCCTTTCCAGGCTGCCCCGAGATCCTTTCCAGGCTGCCCACACAAGGTTATACCTGGGAGGGATGCAAACCTGATTCACTGCATCCACTTGGAGACTTCAAATGGCAATGCAGGGGGTCACAAAGATCCTTTCTGGGGTGCCCCGAGATGCTTCCTGGGGTGCTACAGAAGATCAGCTGCGGTGAGGGGTGCAAACCCGATTCACTGCATCCACCCAGAGATTTCAGACAGGAATCCCGGGAGTTTCCATCCTTTGTAAGCTGCCCTGAGATCCTTTCTAGGGTGCTCTCAGCTGTTTTCTGGGGTGTCCACACAAAGCTGTAACTGTGAAGGGTACAAACCCGATTCACTGCATCCACCCAGAGACTTAGAACGGGGATCCAGGGGATTACAAAGATCCTTTCCAGGTGCCCCAAGCTGCTTTCCGGGGTGTCCATGCAAGGTTAGTGCTGGGAGGGTTGCAAACCCAATTCACCTTTTCCATCCAGAGGCTTCAAACGGGAATCAAGGGGGTTACAAATGTTCCCACCTGTTTTGGGCCTTTGTGAGTTCTTTGGAACGGAAGTTGAACATGGAGCGCAGACTAAGAGCTGGCATTTTTTGCTGGGGGTCTTGAGTCTAGCAAGGGCTGCCTTGGGTCTAAGAAAGGTTGAGAACCACAGCCCTGCAGTGTTTGTGATCCCCTGAGCAACAAGGCAATGAACTGCCGTGGGCTGCAATGGCAGCAGGTTTCAATAGGGCCAGATGCATGGTGTGTAGTCCATGTTTCTGGGCTCCGTTTCTGCGGTATGTATGTTCCAGAAGGCCACATGTGAGAGCCTGGTACAAAGAAGGTATTTTAAGTGCTGGGAGGAAAAGAATACCCTCTTACAGGTCTTTCAAACGAGAGTACCGTGGAACTGTAATCCAGACAAGAACCTCTGAGTGCTACTAATCTGAGTGTACATAAATGCTGCCCTAATGAGATATTTTTAATCCAGGGGTAAATCTTTCCATTACTCGAATACATGCTTCGCATCCTGAAAATAAACTTAAAGATGCAACACTAGAATGAGCCTCAAGAGTGTCTTTCTAAATTACATTTTCCAAGAATGATGCACTGAATACTTGGAATATTATATTCCTTCAGCTGCTTTTATATTTTCATTGGATGCTTAGTCTTCTAAGGCACCGTAATAGTAAGGCACTGTAATTGTAAAGGAACGTCTCTTCTTCTTGTCTTCCTTTAGATACACCCAGTACCAGCGCATGCTGAGCACATTATCACAATGTGAATTTTCAATGGGTAAAACTCTGCTGGTATATGATATGAACCTCAAAGAAATGGAGAACTATGAAAAAATCTATAAAGACATAGGTAAAGAGCACTGTATGTCCTACTTGTTTGTGGTTGCATATGTAATAGTGACTAATTCCTGATAAATAGTTCACAAATGTGGTAAGTGTATTTCAAACTTTTTGTCATAAAGAGCACCCATGCGCAGGTTCTGAGCATCCGTGTGGTATTTAAAATAGAAAAAAAAAAGGAATGCAAAGGAATAAGGTTATTTAAAAATTTCTGGACGTCCCAAATGTTTAAATTTGGGGGCGCTAATCAGAGAGTATAGTGTTACCTGACGTTGTAGTTAATGAGAGGTTTTTATGATTCAGTGAACTGGTTTCTTGATGCATATGATTAGAGAATTCGTTTTGATTTTTTTTCTTTTTAAGAAAATAGCATAGCTGCAGCGCATGAAAAAATTGCTGAATGCAAAAAGCAGATTCTGCAAGCAAAGAGGATACGAAAAAATCGCCAGGGTAAGATTTTACCTCATATGAAGCTACGTCTAAAAGGAGAGTAGGCTTAAGTAGACTTTTGACTCTACAGGGCCTTTCAGACCAGTACAACTTTAGTTTTAAAATTGTCACATTTGTTTCCAGCCCAAGTACAAGCAAATATGTTAGCCATCTTCAAGAGAACAAATACCATTTCTCACGTGATCATTTTCTGGATGTCATTCATATAATGTTGTTTCAGTTACAGCTAGGAAAAGGCCCTCAGTGATGACCAAGACAATTTGGGATGAGTACTCAGGCCACAGTTCTGCCTTGAAGTCTAATGTTTAAACTACATACATACGATGAGCAGTCCTGTTAATATGAAGCTACTCGGAATGTAAAACTAAGCATGCATGTAAACACTTACAGAGCTGGGAATTAAATACTCCTCCCAAATTTGCTAAGTGCCCACTGAGTGCATTTTTTAATTATCTTTGCAGAATCATGACCTTAATTCCTTTTCTTTTCAAACCATGCTAAAATTGAACATAGACTGAAAAGGAATTTGGAGAAGCAAGCCTACAATTAATATCAACATTTTGTTGTTTTGAAGGTGGACTTAAGTGTCATGCTTCAACTTAAGGCAAATTATCAAGCTGCTGTTTTCAAAGGAAGTCTATGGTCAGAAACAGTAGAAAAGCAATAGTTGGCTTTGTGATCATGTTTTATCAGTATGAAAAAAGAAATCGAGTTTGTATTTCTGAATTGCATTTTCCAGGACAGGCACTTTGAAATTCTTAATGCCCAGATGTTGGAGGGTAGGGAAAACTGGGAATCCCACTTGGATGCAAAAATATATTCTAATGTGCCAGTGCTCTGTGAACACAGCTGGCCCTCCCCCTCTCAGTCCCGTCTTGGAGAACTGCACAAGGTTCTCTTCAGAGCTAGTTTGTGCTGTGCCTAATCGAAGAGGAGGTTTATGGGCGAGCAACAAAAGTCACATTCCCTTCCAGACTCATTTCTCTGCCCGACCAGGAAAAAGCAGTGGCAGAAAAGAACAAGACCCAAAAAATCACTCTACGTAGCAATGTTGGTCTACATGGCAGTTCAGAACACTACTACTGACTCAATCCTATTATTAATTTAATTTATTTGTGATTATAGGTGGCCCTCAACAAAGGCTCAAGGCAGCTTACAATAACAAATAGAATTTCTAAAACTGAAAAGAAGAATAAATAGCTAATAATAACTAACAAAGAATAATTTATAATGAGGAGGAAACGTAAGTAGCCAAGAAAGTCACCTGAAAAATTAAAAAGTCACAAAGAGAACTAATGGCGTCACCACTAGGTTGTGCTACTACAACATAAGCAATCAAGGGTATGGCAAGAAGTCCTCAGCATAAATTGTTGTTTCATTATTTTTTAAAGCATGTACTTCAGGAAGTTGCCTGGGAGCTTTTCAGAGCCTTTTGCACGCAGCCAGCAACAAGGCACTTACTTTCCCTGCAAAACTACCGGTGTTGGCAATCCACTTTGAGGGAGTTCCAAATTGTGCATTTTATCATTTCTCATAAAAAGGAGTCTGCTTATCATTTCACTGCTAATTTATTTTAAACGTTTCCATTTAGGTCTGTATACCATAACATTGCATGTGCCATATTCTCTCTAGTTCTTGGGGGAAACTACATTCAGTACACAAAGGTTTCCATGTGAGGTAGATACCTGGCACAGATGCAACCATTAAAGCCAGGAAATGGCAGAGTCACATCACCCATACCCGTGTCCCTGACTAAACCTGTGACCTTTGTGCATAAACTAATTACAGAATCACCCTATTTCTCAAATATAGGATCATGTAGTTATTTCTAAAGTCTTAGTAACTGATTGGGGCAAGTCATCTAGATGGTAATCATAGGAAATGTATACAGTAAACTGTATGATAAAGCAGTTGTGTGGCTCCACCATGATAATGATGCATAGAGGGGGAAGTGCAGTATATGAGAGAAGAAGTAGTAAACTGTGTTTACAAATAAAATGCAATATAGTCACATAGTATTGAAAACTTACCAGAATATACAAGCCATCAAATTTTGCATTTAAGAGGTCAGTCCTACCAACATTTCATATTGAGCAGGATGCTTTCTCTTTGGAGTAGTCCTGTTGAGTAGATCAGGCCTACCATGAAGAGTTTTTAAAATCTGCTTTGGCACATGTAACTACTGCAGAGTTAAGCATCTGGGATTCTGCTGCACGTAGTAGGAAGCCTAAAAATAAGTCTTTCCAGGAAGTAGGAGGGATTCATGTTACTAGTATTCCATTATCTGTGATTTTGGGTTAACAAATCTATGCTTTCACAATTGCTATAGCAAGTAACCTTTTAAAAATGTTTTGCCTGGCTTTTTTTTTTTCAGAATATGATGCATTGGCCAAAGTAATACAGCACCATCCAGACAGGCATGAAACATTAAAGTAAGTATTGGACAAAATGAGATGAACATAATGTTTTCTGTTGTTCGGACTCAAATCATGCATTTTCATATCACAAATTCTGCTCTCAGATTGTTGATTTGGACTTGTATTTTATGTACAAAGAGAAGTGCATGTGTATCTTGTGGCAGAATTTAATAGGTCCTCAGTATTTAGATCAGACACTTACTGCAGAATCTAGCTGGTCAGTTTATGAATTAACATATATCCTAATGTGTGAAATGATAATCATGTGCAACACTTATATTTTCTGCTTAACTAATAAGCACATGCCATTTATCAATTGAAAACTCCATAGTTGTCAGAAGTAGCTTTGGTTTTTCAAATTAGCTAACTGATTATCAACTAGAACCACCAAAGCATCATGCCTGCTTCTTACAAAGCAGCCAGTTAAATTTACTTTCGTAATGCAGCAGAGCAAAGGTTTCCTTAGCAAAGTTATAAATAGCAGCAACACGTTTTAATTTTCTGCCCTTTCCTTTACTTTGTTTCCTCCTCCAATTATTTGACTTAGGATTCAAAGCCTGAACTAAAGCTATATCCCATTTTGCTAGGCACTGTACAAATGCACAGGAAGAGAGTCCTCATCCTGTACAATTTACAAACTAAATAAAGGGAAACAGTGTAAGGCTATGAAAGGAGATGATTATCCCTGTTTTGCAGATGGAAAACTAGGACAGTGCTAAAATGAAAGATTTTTTAAAAAAAAGAGAGTTAGAAGGGTCTAAATATTGAGCCTTCACCAACTTTTCTTAAGCTAATGGTGCAGAGAAGTGTATAGCAGATGTGCAGATTGGACCAAGATCAGCAAAAATCCCAGTCTACTCACTGCTTTAACTTCAAGGCCATCCTTGCTCTTCAGTTTTTGAGGAGAGCTTTCAGAGATTGCCAGTGGGTCAGATCCAACACCCAAAAAAGACCACATTTGAGTCAGGTTTGAGAGGCCTGGCTGTCACAACAGCCAGTCAGATTGCAAAGTGTTACTCTTTTTAAGTTGTTCTTAATCATTGGAAAAGAGTAATGAAAACCTGCCAGAAAAAAATATGAGGGCTTATTGTGTGGGAGGCTTACGGTCATATACATTCATTAGTCATATGGCACAATGGGACAATCTCAGAGAAATAATTTCTCAATGAATCACTTAAAAACTCTTTCTTGGAACAGCCTGTTCTTTAGCACACTAGAAGAGAGGCTATTATTGACTTAGTCATAAGTATCACACAGGAGCCAAGTCAAGAAGTAACAGTAACTGAGCTGTTAACTAACAGTGACCGTAGCATAGTTAGTTTCAACACCCAAAGAGCAAGTAGAATACCAAGAGGTGACACTAAATGTTACAAAGGAGGGCTTCAGTAAAAAAAGGTTGTTCAAAAAGACCCTTGTGTAAGAAATAAAATCTCTAGATGTAGCTTGGACATTACTAAGGACAATAAGAGACTCTTGCAAGACACGCATAGTGCTGAGGAGAAAGGAAGCCAGCCGGCAAAGCGTAATAACAACATTTTAGGACCTGGTCAGGCTAAGCAGAGATCTTTCCCTGGTAAAACCAGTGAGCAGGAGTGTGGGCTGCTGCCCTCTTTCCACAGTCCAGGAACGGTTAAGCACCAGGCCTAGATCTCTTCCAGGCCTACAAACACTGTTTCTGCCACCAAACACTTGCAAAGTCGCTCAAAACAAAGCTTTCTCCCTGCTAGGGCAACTTGTAGGGGCCCAAAGGCCTTTCATTCTGTGCTTTAACCTGCCTGTTCCAGGCCAACCTCTCTTCTGCTTATTCCCACCTGAGGCCCTTAGAAGAGAGGTCTTCAGCTGAACAGGACTGACTGGCCCCAGGCTGCCTTAAAAGGAATTACATTAGGCATTAAGAAAGAGAGACATGAGAAGAGATAGAAGAATAAATAGCTAAAGATGTAAAAGAAACTTTTCAAAGAAGCCAGGTGTGTGGAGAAATCAGTGTTCCTGCTGGCTCACCAAAGATTAAGGGAAGCAATTCAGAAAGACACAGTCATTGCTGAAAAGCTAAATTATATTTGTGCCTGTCTTCACGAGCAAGAATGTTGAGGGTGATGTTCATCTTAGATTTGTTCTTTTCTATTTACAAAGACGAGAATTTTTCGGATTGAGATGACAGATGCAGTGCTGGAGCAAGTGGTTAGTTTAAAATGCAGTAAATCACCAGGCCCACATACTAAACATCAAAGAATTTAGAAGCAGTATCTTAGCTATTTCAGACTTGAGCTGACAAAACCGGTAATCTGTTATTAATAGCTACTGTCCCAGAGAATTAGAAAGTAACAAAAAATTTAAAGACTATGGATTTTCCCAAACCTAATGCAAACAATGCTGGTTAGGTAGAAAATAACCCGTCTCAACTGCAGTCAGTGCTGAGCTGTTAGTAGCCCCCAAACTGACTGGTGCTGTCATTTGCAAGGCTTTTAACAGCAGCTCTAAAATGGACTAGATGCAGTTATTTTCCAAGGCCTCTAGTTGTTCCAAGGTTGGAGAGCACAGCCATTTTACAGATCAGAAAATGGGGCTGAATGGTGCTGCACACTTAACTTATACACAGTTAACAATTTTTGTTGCAGTGTAAACACTGGGCAGAAAAATGAGTCTGTCACCATATGATTAAGCAGTTAAGCAAATTAGGAACGTAAGTAAGTAAACTGAACTTCATGTATCTAGTTAAGCTATGGAACTCATTTGCTAGAGAAGGTTGTCAGGGCCAAGAACTTAACAGGATTCAGGAAGGAAATGGGTATTTAAATGTGTCAAGGATATAAAATGCTGCCCATGACAATATACTTTTGCCACGGGCACTAAATATTGTGTTTTTGGGCTTAAGTCAATTTCTGTCAGGTTTCACCCTGCCGCCCACATGAGGGAATATTACTGTGCATCAGCTGCAAGCTTCCGTAGCCATCCACTGAAGCATCTGGTTTTAACTACTTTCAGAGATGGGATGGACCTCTGGTCTGATCCACTCTGGCCACTCCTTTATTCTTGTCTGGGACACTCAGGTTGCTCCTGAAGCACTGCTCTGTTACTGCTCCTGTAACAAAAAGGGGTGGGTGAATGAGTGAAGCTTGTGACAATACCATTGGGATCTTCTTTAGCCTGCTTCTGCCACTTCCTTTGTATAATTTGGTAAATGATTGCTAACATGTTGGACAGCAAGAGCGAGCTCTTAGAGACCATATTCTTAGTATACGATTCCATCCCAACCGAGTGGATTGGTTTGTTTTTGAATGGCTTTGGTTTCTGTAATACATGAATATAATATAACAGCTTAATCCCTGCATTAGAAAGAGCTTTACACAAATGTCATTTTTATTTAGTATACTAGATACATTTGTAATTGTGCAATTATAGGAGCTATTCTGCAGTTCACTTTCTGTAGTTTTGCTCAAGTTGAATTATTTTTCAATAATTGGCAAAATGATTGCATAATTAGAGCTAAAGCACTGTTTATACTATGACTGTTTTAATTTCTGCACAGGCAGCTAGAAGCTTTAGGAAAAGAACTTCAACACCTTTCTCACATTAAAGAAAATGTTGAAGATAAGGTACAGTTTTATTTTGCTATACAATTTATTCATCTCAATTACAAAATAATCGACAATAAAATATTTGGGAATATGTACACTTAATCTGCTAATATTTACTTTGTGGTGTTTTTTGTCATTCTAGCTGGAATTGAGACGAAAACAGTTTCATGTTCTTCTGAGTACTATCCATGAACTTCAGCAAACTCTAGAAAGTAGGTTGTACCTAAATGAGAGACATGTAGGGTCAAATTCCACTCTCCCTACTCGCTGGAATAGGTTTATTAGTCACTTGGACAACTTAAAAGGCAGCATTACCGAACCCTGTAATCCATGCATTTTTTTTCCCATTTCATTTTAAGAGTAATACTGTCTTTTATCATGGAAATATAACATAATTTATGTAAGTATATGTATTATTGGCCCACATTCAGTTACTATTGTCAGTACCTTATTAGTCTTTTTTTTTCTAAATAAAAAGTCTGTTTAGACTTTGTTCTATGAGCCTGCTATGTTGTTGTCTTCTGAACAGGGTCACCTTTAAGCTGCTTTTATGCTCTTTCAGTCTCCCAGGTATCACAGACCTTGTTGAATTGGGATGAACTTTTCACCCTTAGATGCTGTTTAGCAGGGGAAGATTGGTTATTAATGCTTGCTTGAATCTGTAATATATATAATAATATATACAACTGAGTAATTTACCTTGTCAACATTGAATTATGAGAGAGTCAGTATAGTCCGGTGAATGGGGCTTTAGACTAGGATTCAGGTGATTCAGGCTGTTTTCTCAGCTCTGTCACTAGCTAGGACTTCATGTCCACGTCTTAGTTGTCTGAAATGGGGTGAATGATATTTACTTTCTTTACGAAATGTTCTGAGTTGGACGTACCAGAGACTCATAGATGAATCACACTGAAAAGCATCAAGTGAGTCAAGTATTAGAATTACTACTGTGGTAAAAAAGGGTTCTGGACATGTAAAATCAGCAACAGGCATCATTCAAGCTTATATCCTGTCATTACCTTCAAGCATCAATACTGCTATATTTTTTCAACATATACAGTAATAGCTACAGGAGCTGAAACAAAACAAGCTCAGGAGTAAGTGCCAGTCTCAGCTCTGAATTACGTTTTTTTCCGTAGGTACTTAACACTATTAAACTACAGATTGAGGGCAACATACTTTTTAAATAGGAATACTACGTTTTAGTATAGTTTGCAAGTGTGAGCGTATTTGACTAACAGGTACAATTTGAATTTCAGATGATGAAAAGCTTTCAGAAGCAGAAGAATCCCAAGAAACTCAAATGGAAACAGAGACCAAACCGTAGCTAGATTCTGGACTTATCTGAGAATTTCTACAGCTTCGAACATGCAGTGAAGCTGGTACCTCTTAGACTTGTGATTACAAATTCAAATTTTTCTTTAAAAAAAAATACTTGTTTTGTTAGTGGGCCAATGGAATTGTTGCAGATAATCTTTGTACACAAAGTGTAAAAGGCATTTTATTTGATTAAGCCTAAGAAATACAATAGCTTGTGAACTAAGACATTTGTAGTCTTTTTGTTGTGAGGCGTGACATTAGGATGGTCTTTAAAAATGAAGATGTTTATGCATTATTAATAAACATTTTTCCAAGCAATTTCCTCATGATTGTTTTGAAGATAGGAAAATAGTTTAGTAACTAATTAAAGCACCTCCCCCACCCCGTCCACTCTGGAGCACGTCTCTAGATGCCCAGTGATGCCAGGGTGCGTGAATCTAGCTGGTGGACTCTAAGCTAAGTGGTTTACTCCTAGTTTTGCCATGTAGTAGCCATTTAATTCATTTTAGAAGCCACTCACAAAAAATAGCAATGGCTCTTGTTTAACACAGTATAACTTTCATATTGCATAAGTGTTGCCTTTCCAGCAGCTTCAGAACATTAATGATCTTACTGTGCTAGTTTTATTTACATGTATTGTGGTAACACCGTGGGGCCTTCAAATCAGAGATACAAGCCCCATGGTACACAAAGGCAACCGAAGGTCACAAGCTAAGAAATAACTTAATTATAATTTGGAATGCTGTGTTCCTACAGATAAGGATGCAGTGGATCTAATACAGCTAGCGTTCAGAGTCTGATGACTGTTGAATACCAAATACATAAACAGGCTGGGGGCCAGGCATGGGATCCTGGCTTGCCCACCCCTAGGGAAGGGCTCTAACTATTGAGCTACAGAACCAGGAGGCTCCCAATTGATCTTGAATTCTTTTCTTTACAATGTGAGAGGTGAGAAATTTTGGGATGTTGTCTTTTATTGGACATAGTGCATAGACAGGCTTTTGAATACAAGGCATTCTTCAGTCCAATAAAAAATAGCATCCCCAAAAATCCTTGCCTCTTGTATAGTTCCTGGAATATCCTGGCTACTACATCACTTTAACACTCTTCACAATGACACTGCTTCTCCTGTTGGAGCGGAGAGTGCCTCCACCTGAACACGCTGCTTAGCACGTTCCCTTGGGTAGAAAGAAATGTGGCGTTGAACCCACCACAGCTAAGTATTTCAACTTTGTCCTCGCTTGCTGGCCGAGTGCTCCAATCCCAAAGAGAGGAGAGGAGTGGGGCATGGTGGCTGCACCAGCTCTTCCTCCACATGTCAAAAGAACATGGCAGCAGCAACTGCAGACTCCACAGACTACAAACACCTGGAGCCCCATCAGCACTTGACTGGAACTAGCTCAGCTCTGCCAAGACAGGGATAGCATGTGGCTTGATGCAACTGCAGGTGCCTGGAGAACTCTAAAAGTAGCATGCTTGTGGAGTTTCACTGCCTCCTCCAGTCTGGCAGAAGCTGTGAGGGAGCATTGGGGATTGCAATGTTGAATAGAGGTGCCTGAGGTAGGATTTACATGGAATCTAGCTGCCTAAATCCTTCTGCATCCGGCCTTGGCTTCTTGTAGACTTACTGATTTTTTTCCAAAACTGAGGAACAAAGAAAACTGATAATACTTTTTTTTTTGTGAAAATTAAGCTATCACCACAAGTTGTTTCTTTATTGTTCTGCCTTGTGGGTCATTTAATTTTTCCCCCTCGGGAAGCCATTTTATATTGTGCAAGAACAACAAAGCTTAGCAGTAAATTTAACTGCAATGTTATTATAGGATTGCTAAATTAGACCCTTTATCTTGGATATGTAATTTATGGAGACTAAATTAGCAAGGTTTAACTGTAGTTGGTAAGGCCCTGCATAAAAATATAGAGCATCCTCATTAACACAGTAAGTTGAAATCTTAGTTGTTCTTACCATCTAAACAGGCCTTAGCAGCAGCACGTACATGGAAGACGCATGTTTTTCAGTTTATACTTCCCCATGGTTCATTTGGAACTCTTTGAAATTGCTTAGATGATTGAAGTATCTCATCTCCCAGAAACTTGCATTCTGCGTCTCTCTGCCAGTAAATTTATGGATTTGTTGGTCACTTTTTCTAAAAAGACTGTCAACCTGGTGAAGGCAGGGACAAAGGAAAATGAAAGACAGTCACTGAAACATATGGATTGAGGAGCAGATTATCAGTCCGTGAGACAGAAGATAAGTGGTTCGAGTGGCATCCAAGCAGAAGACTGTAACTTGCCATTCAATGTATGGTGATACAATACTGAAATAGCTAATACCCAAAGAAGTCAAGATCTCCTAATTTAACTCAACTGCAAGAGATGGTGACTATAATCATGCCTATGAAAACCTGATTTGGTTTAAAGACAATTAATGACATTTAAAATCACCAACTGATCATGACAGTTACCTACAAGTAGCCTCACTAGCCACCTGTACAAGTTCAATATCTTTGTTCTCATATTTCTAAGCTTTGGTCACTAGTTTGTGTCTCTTTCTGTGTAGAAGTAGCCTATACCACTACAGACTCCCCAGCTCTCTCAAAAGGATCTCCGAAAAACAATATGCTGGACTTTCCACCATTGTCCTGATTGCATTCATCCTTGCATCACAGCTGACTGATTGCTAATGTTTCATCCTCATCTTCTGGAGATGCATCCCACTGTGCTACTGCTTATTTATGTTGCTTCACATTCGCACACACAAGCCTACTTGGGATCCCAACTGAATGCCAAATTACATTTTCAGAAATTAAATTTACTTTTAATATTGTTGCCTCCCTTTTAAGCTGCTCTGCCTAAATGGGAAGGCTGTTGGTTGCCAAGAAACAGCACCCTACTTCCACTGCCACATGGACATGAAATAGCAAAAAGGAGACCTAGAGATGATTTGAGAAAGGAAAAAAGCTGTTTTCTACACTAGAGATTTTTTTTTAATAACAAGTTACTACCCTTTCTTGCAAAGAGCAAGCAACTAAAGAGGAAAAGAATCAAACTATTACACAGAGATGAGGAACTTGTGCTTTTTAAATTAAAAATTCTGCCCAAGCCATATGTGGTGTAATTTTATCTCCAGACAGAAAAAGAGGTCATTGTGACACTACTGCCAGTAACAGAATTGCTGTCCCTTTGTGAAACCATGGTAATCTGAGGATGGATGCAGCCAGCTAAGAAAATTGCAAAAATAGAGCCTGAAGGATTTTAGATAGCAATGGAGAGCAGATTAATGACTTTTATTTTAGGTACCTGCATTTCAAGCTTTCCAAAAGTTGTATTTGAATGGTGCCATACTTTTTGCCCATTCTTTTTACTTTTAAAGCGTAGAAAGTTTCTTCTTTTTTTTTTTTTTTTGGACAGAGAAGGAACCAGATGACAGTAAAAAGTATTCAGATGAGAATGGCTGGCACTTCTTTGGAAGAATGAAAATCATAACTATTTTGCATCATATGCAACATGCAAATATGGGAAAAACCCAAATATTAAAACATTAAACACGGTGAATATGCAGCAGCTTCAAGGGAAAGCAATTCTTCCTCTTTCCACAAATGCCTTGTTTCTAGGCATTTGTTCTTAGTTAGCTCAACCTGAACCGGTTAAAAATCTGATTCATTACTTGTAATTTGTAACACAGTGACTGCTTTGAACTCTAAACATGGAGGAGAGCCCCCCCTGCGCAAGGTGCTGTACAAACAAAACTTCAAAGCTGCCTCAAACAGCTCCCAGTAAGACAAAAAGACAACAAATGGATACAGATGACATGGGACATTGCAAGAGGAGAAGGAATAGGGCTGGCCCTGGAGTGGTCATCACCTTGAAGAGGCTGCGAGAAGGGAATGGGGCTCCAGCAGTGGGTTGCTAGCTGCATGTCCAACATGGTATCTTGCATGTCTGGTAGGATGTCCCAAGGCCGTGCACTGAATGGCACTATGGAACGGGAGTAAATTAAATGCAAGTTCACTTGCTGTTAATGTGCTACTGATGGCAGCATACATGAGACCCTTCTTGGGAGTAAGATATATCCCTGCTAAGCCCCTTTAAGGGTACAGGACATGCAGGATGCTGCACTGATTAGATGCTAGGAGAGAATATGGCTTGGCTAGGCAAGCAGGTGTTAAAAATGCCTTCCATCATTTCCCATAGACTTCCCTGAAGACTTTTGCTTCTTGATGCCCCTTTTCTCCAGTCTGTATCTCACTCAGTTCTCTCTCCTAGGATGTTCTCAGGGGACACCCAATACGTGCACCGGAGTGACTGACGTTGGTTTTGTACATTGGGATCTGGAGCAGACAGATGAGCAATTAACCTGAGGTTGAAGCTTGCAGTAGGTGCTATTACAGCACCTTGTCACTACGGGAAGGCTGGAGACTCCCGCTGCTACTAGAGCCAACGGCTAGGGCTGCCTGTAGCCTGCGGGCTACCAGTTGGACAGCCCTGGCCTAGAACAAACTGCTACGCCCAGGGAGCTGCAGGAACCCACGGTATGACTTACACTGGTGTAGTTTTACTCCTGATCTTTCCCAGGATAGTTGTATAATCACATCCAAGTTACATGGGTACAGGGCTGTACACTGCACATCCATTCCTTGTTTGCACAGGTGTAAAGGCTAACTGCACCAGTTCAACTACATCGTGTCCAAGCCCTTTGTCCCTGCTCCAGACTCTAGGGAATCTAGCAGGCTGCAGCACTGACTGATTTCTCTTGCTCCAAAAACAAATTTAGGACATCCCCATCTTGCGTCACCTTCATTTTAAAAGAGTCATTTAAAATGTCAGTCACATTCAAACTTCTGCTTTTCCAGCCAGTTGTTGCAATTCTCCCCTGCTTCATTGATCTCACATCTCCCTACTCCTCTACTTACCTCCATACCAATTCTCCAAAGCTGTTAGATGTTTTTGCCCTTGAACTGCCCCATCTGTATGAGTTTTCCCTTCCATCTCACACATTGAGTCAGCTCACTTCCTCTCGAAACCTCTTGATCTTTTCCTTTGACAGAGTCACTCTAGAAAGCTTCTAACAATGCCTTTGAATAGCACTGTGTTGAAAATATTGTATAAATGGATGTCTCTAGAAGCTACAGAAAGCTTTAACAAGTGTTTGATTGTTAAAATCTGCAAGATCAAACCAGGACGTGAGACTCGCAGCCAAAAAATTGGTCTCATGATGAAATAGGGATGGGTAGCAACCATACCTCCAGAAGACAGACAGCTGTGTCAGTCTTTTTAATCCTTGAATAAATCCTGAACTCCCTCTTACCTGCGCATTA